CTTGTTGCTTTGTTTTCACTTATCAAGTAGATCGGTAAAGGAGGCATTGCCCATTCACTTCATTGACATCTTCATACACGTACCGTAGACGATTCCGTAACTAACGTTCCCAGATGATCCACTGCTGGTCTCGTTGAATTCGACTGTTACTAGAATTCCTCTAGAACACAGGACTTGGATGGCTATCAAAAGTAGACGTTATTTTTAACTCGTCTGTTAAGAGTCTTTATAATTTTGCCCGTCCCCAGTATATGCTCGTTTTTGGCCAAGATAAGGTTTAGCGTTTAGGAAGGGAAATCAAAAAAAGGATCCCTTATGATTGGGATCACTATTCGCTTCCACCAATGTTGAGCATCAAGGCTTTCCTTAAATCGGATAAAAATCATTTTGCTAGGCTGGATAACATACATTGACGATGTAAAGAAGGGCTGAGGGGAGGAAGAAAAATGTCGACATGACCCGGAGGCCATAAAGACCCAGTGGGTATACAATGATGGAGCCTTGAGTGTCCGTGTAACCAAAACCGAGATTTAAAACAAAAATCAACTATTACAAATTATTTTGCTACTTAAAGACGTTTAAGAACACAGCCAAATCATTGTCAATTCCTAATTTAATGTAGATGTCTGTTTTATGGGATGGAGTTGAATGATGGTTTAATGGATTTTATACTGCTGAACTCCTTTTCCTCTCCCATAAAAAATTGTTTAATGAGGGATAACCGTTGGGGTCAAATCTTTTGAAAAACGGAAGAGTTCCTTTTAGAGCGAATTCCAATTAATTTGGAAAAATACCATCAGTCATGTCAAAAAGTTGATTGTACCTTAAGCAATAATCCTTTTGTGCTCTAAAAAATTATTTTTAAAGGTAGATACTGGGTTCTGCTTATCTCCCTTTTATCCATCACCCATTTCAAACATCGACAAATGTTTTGTATATTTAAATTTATAACTCCGCATCGCAGCCAAAGCCTAACCTTTTACAGGTTTTAGCAAATAGTGATTCTATGAAACAAAATTTTTGGGTGAATTTCGTAAAAATTGTATTATTTTTTCAAGCCGCGAATAAAATCTTTGAAGGTTTTGAGTTTGCTACATCTCACAGATGCTCAACCCCTAGGCTGATCACGAAGGCAAATTTACTAACTCTTTGAAATTTTAACTCTCAAGCAAGAGAGTAGCCTCTTCTCTTCAAAAAACAAATAAATCAAAACACATTATCCAGACCCAGTAACATGAACTGCAGGAGTTGTGGTATTTAATGGAATCACAGAAAAGACTGCATAGGTACCGGGGCTCGGAACCGGAGTTCATGCTTCGGTAACAGGTCATTTAGGCCTCCGCTAGTGTACCCCGTAGGGATGGCCCGACCTGCAGACCATGCCAGTAGCCCCCAAGAGCTTTCAGTCGTTGGTCATAAATATTCTGCCCTAGTAATTATTACTTTTCTTTCCTTTTTGAGACAATCTCGAAGCAAGATGGAAAATTAATTCATTTTAGTTTTTACTTGATTAAAGCCTGCACTGAGCTTTGTTTGGCCAATTAGTATTCCATTAAAAGAGGATTTATACCGTCAACCTACATGCGTACCTTATAATTTATATTCATTTACTCCTGTAGCGCCTCGAGCCTTGACTGGAGTCGAAAGAGGACATAACATCAGAGCGGAATATTAAATTGCCAACATGCAGAAGTGTTAGAGGAGGCTGCTTGTATGCCCCGAAGACTATGTCGCCCAGCGAAAGTTAAACGGTGCGGCCATAAGTAATTGTGTAGCCGAAACAGTCAAGGTATTCCAAATTCATTATTTTTAAAAAGAATTTAGCACCATTAAAAAAAACTTCAACAAACTTCAAATTTACTACAAATAAAATAGCAAAATAACCATAGAATTCCGAGAATTTTAGTGAAAAGGTTTTTGAATATATTTTCTTGGATTATTTTTGTAGGAAGCACTCCGTCGACCGATTTTATTACCCACTGCTCTGCGAGCCTGGCTGTACTTCGCTACGCGCGAAGGTTGAAGCACTTTGACAACGGTGGCTGTGGCCCTACAGTCCATCCAACATCTATGGACTAATTGCGCTTGTTTAGTAGTAAAATCAACGTTCGTACAAAGTTCCTCTTTGTTTAATAATTTCCAGGCAATTACTTTCTTAGTTCCATTCAAGCGTATTTGCGGTGCTGCTTGACACGATTAATGAAATGATGCTATTACTACTGTCATACCTTGGTTGGTATTTTACTTCTCAACTTTGGTTACGTGGGCACTTAAATCTACGCCATTCTACTTACACTGATCGGCATGGTCTCCGCGACTTAGCCCTTCTTCACGTTGGCAATATATTTCCTGGCCTAGTACTATAATTTCTTCCGACTTTGGGGGAGATTAGGGATGCTACAATTCCATCTTCCTTCTTACTTAGCCTGGGAATACCTATTTTTAAGACAAAATGATAGACATTTTAGCTTTTTTTCCTATTACAGTTCAGTTATTTTGCTCTAAATAAATTGTTGGAAAAAGAAAGCTTCCATTTGGTTGCTTCCTTTGCTACTGATCCGGTTCAAGAAACTGCTAAGTTTAAACACTCATTTGAAGCAATGGCAAGTGAGTAGAAAGAGTAGTGGCAGTAAAGTGTTTTTTTCTTAACAGTAAGTTAAATATGTTGCAACGAAGCGGATTACTTACATAATACTTATAAGACTCTGTTCTGTTTCTGTTGTATTACTTATTTAACCACAAGTTTGGGTGATTCAAGCAGCCTCAGAGTTACGTTCCAGCAAGAGTACAAGCCGCTGTATTTTTATTACAACCTGCCCAACTTCATTTTTTATCGCGTAAATCAAGCCCTGCTTTTTCTCTCCGGTTTTACTAGAATCCACTTAGTTACCTCGTACCACAGTTGCGTGCATATAGGTAATAAAATAACATCTTTTATTTTGTTTGAACAATTATTTCTTTTTACAAGTCCACCGCTTTCTGCGTCAATGACTGTTTTTCAAGTACTTTATAGATCTGACAGCTTGATCTACACCCAATTTAAAAATAGCTCACAGGTACTACCAAATCATTTTGTGAATAAACTTGCCCACAAAAAAAAGTGAATGTGCCGGAATCACAGGTGAAGTGAAATGCTTGAGTGGGACTTATCGCTTCCTAATTTACTGCTTAACTTCCATTCAGAGCTTTAAAGAAAATCACAAAGTACTCCCTTTACACCAAATTATACGCGAGGCAGTCAAAGCATCCACCGGTGACCTGGGTCAATTCGTTAACAAGACGCCAAAGATGAAGGATCAGTTGGGATACACTCAAAGAAAGGACATCAAACTATTGCTTAAAACAAAGCTTTCACAAAGCCAAAGTAGGTCAATTTTACAAGCTCTAGGGAAATCCAGGCGTAGAAACAATAAATGTTGAAGCATTTTTCAAAATGCAATGCGCAAACGGAATGGGGTAGGGACGGAGCTAATGAAACTTCATGTGAGCTAATTAAATGGATTTTATGGCTAGGAAGCGGCGCCACCTCGACGCAGGACGTAGTTAACGCCTGATGGGATGTAATCATCATAAGAAAACGATGGTGAAAATTTCAACCACACTGAAGTGGTTGCGAAAAAACATGCAAAGTCCCCATGATAACTGACGGTGAGTGAGGACCGGAGAATTTTTGCTTCTGAATGGATCATAGGCAATAGTAATCAAACTGGCAGGATATTCAGTTTTGACGGCTGGGGCAAGGTAAAAAGCCAGGAGAATGGCTGCAGGCGAACGTCTTTTTCTTTTGCTGACAATCGGTGTTTTTTTCTGCAAGTCTACCTTTATACTTCGCCTTTTACGCATTCTTCAAATGTCAACTTTTGCCTTCAGATGCGTTCGGTGGCGATAACCTGTTTAACTACTTTTGACATTAATTTCTCTGAACAGATCCTGAAAGGCTTTAGACAGAGTTTGGTCTCACAAAATATGATGTGACAAGGGACTTAGACGGCGGTTTCATTCGATTCCTATGTTAGCACACATTCACCATATTCAGAACTGTAGGTAAATAGCATTGATTAAAACAAACAACTTTTGCGTCAAATCCCACTTCTGAATTTCTTATTTCTAATTCATTGGAGTAGAAATAATGAATAGGGAAGGATTAGCAGTGGGCCCCTATAAATCCGTTCGCCTATGCAAGCATACTGAGAAAGCAATTGAGCTTTGCATTTCCTTACTCATCCAGACTTCTGCTCTTTTCCTGCTTCATGACAACCTTTTCAACTTCTGTCATTTCATGGTAGTTTTAAACTTTTTGACAATTCAATATTCGCGTGACTTGCACAGATCGTGAGAAGCTGAACGCACTTTCCCATTGGTGGGAAGTATTTGAAAAAGGTAATACTTCCTAATTTTGGGCTTTATTTGGCTTTCATGGAAATTAAAAGCAAAGATTAGATCTTTATAATGCTCTCATAGTTCAAAAGTGGTAATTTTGGAATTTTGCGTGCCGATTTTGAACCCACGATTAAATATACTATTCATTTTATTATCGAAAGCTTGTGGGTTTCCCATCTGCAAAATGTTTTTACTTTTCATTTTGTCTTGATAAACGGGGCATCAACAGCTGTTAGCAAAAGATCATGAAATTTTTCCTGCCATGCACCCTTATGAATTTAAATATCAGACTTTTGGGATGTGTTATCTAAAATAACATATAGTGTTTTAGTACCCTAAATGCACGAGGTGTTAGTTGGATACCGCTCTTATGATGTAAATACTTCTTGACATTTCCACAGAAAGATATAGAGATGTTTTGATCACACATTGTTTTCTCCAGAAAGTATTTGTATTTTCTCATATATGCATGATAATTACCTCATTTCCTTTGCGTCAACAAGCGCGGATGATGAACAAACGGGATGCTTTAGAACGCTGAAGCTGTCTGCAAGTCACCTGACCTTCATCATCTTCCACATGACCTATTGATCCCTCCACGTCACAGACTGCACGTGTAGATGGTCCTTCCACGTCTATGGCGATGTCTGAAACGAACATTCCAGTTCGCCTTTGGCGGTACATCAATGGATGATGATGAACATAATGCAAACAATTGCGTAGCAACACAGTTCCCTTGGGAAGACAGTCTAGGCGCTTCCGATATCCCACCGTCCAAAAGAGTGTGTCTGAGTTTAACCGCAGAGAATGAAACAAATAACTTGTCCGACACAAATTTTGCCTCCCTCCTACCCCTCAAGCAACTACTCACTTGCAACGTCTGCTTTGAATTCGCTAAACAGGCAAACCAATGTGCCAATGGTCATCTTATCTGCCTTTCATGCTCAACGAGGCTGGAGCAAGTATCATTTTCAACAAAAGACTGCAAAACCTCATGCACCTGTCCGATTTGCCGTGTTTCCCTGCGAAATTTCAGCGATGGCAGAGGAATGCAGCGTTGTCTACTGGCAGAAAAGCTGGCTGCAGAGCTGCCTGTTAAGTGTCGGTACTGTAAGATCCTGCTTCCCCGAAAACTTATTGACGTTCATCAGCGATGCCAATGCAGTCTTAGGCTAATTAGTTGCCGAAATGCCTGGCTGGGCTGTGATTGGAGAGGATTTTCTCGAGAAATGGACGACCATGTGGGACACTGTCGGATCCTTGAACAAACATCATCAGACCTGGTCAAAGAGATGTATCGTAGAATGCAGGACATCTTCTCAGGAGCTGCTGTGCGTCTTCATCCTTGGCGAGGTCTTTTGCAGATTCTAGAGGATCGACAACAACTGCGATTCGGAAGGCGTTTTCATGGTGGTTTTCGTGTGGTCCTCCTTCCCATTAGTTTGGATCGAGTGCATGGGGAGGGGAATGGCGTATTGTTTAGTAGTCCCCCCGTTTGTATGCCTTTGGTGCGAAAACAATCGCTTTGGGTACAGGTAAGCCCATTCCGATAGATTAAATATACAGTTCAACTAATTTGCATTCGTTTTATTTAAAAAATGAGTATTTCTATTTTTTTAAATTTAGTTCTAGACTGATTGCTCGCATGATGTAATGAATCGGTTATCACTGTGTTTGTACAAGGACTAATTTCCAATTTACTCATTTATAAGTTTACTAAAAACTTAGTTAATTGTTTTCTTTTCTGACAGCAGAAAATTCTGCGATCATGACTTCTGGTTTATAGTCTAAGGTTAAAAATGAGGCACTGAAAGATCTCCGGAGTTAAACAAATGTTTGCTTACGTGGAGGTTTGGTACTATGCTTTTTCACTGACAACTAGCGTGTCAGAAACAATCTTTTAGATAGAGGTTTTGTTGTGGCAATAGTCAAGAGATAAGAGATCAGTGAGCCAGTCCATTTTAGTTCCCTGTCGTAGATAGACCTGCGCTGAGTAGTACAAGACTTTAACAGTAGTAGGGACAAAATTTCTTTGCCTACAAATAGGTTCCTTAGTAGGTTTTACATTTATACCCCATATCTATTCGAACAAGCCTCAGAAGTAGGAGAAGGGAAGGATTTTCATGGCAATTTTAATGTCAATTTTAGTTAGCTCGCTATAGACTAGCTAATTTGCGTTTCTATGGATTTGGTATAGAAAGGCTGGAAATCTGAGCATTAATATTGTAAGAATACATCAGGATAAAGTGCTTATTGTCCTGTTCATTCAGTTCCGTTAAGTCAGGCTTTTAGAAGCAATTTGGACTACTTTTAAACCGACCCGAATTTAATCACGTTTTGATGCACTAACAGTCACTTAATTTTGATTTCTTAAAGTGTAGGGACTTCAGATTTTAGATATCAATGTGTCGTCTTGCCACTTCCCGGTTTATCTAAACGCATAACATTAAGGAGCAGTAAAGTTATTATATCTAATGGCCGTCACCAAGCACTAATCAAGTCATCTACAGAAAGATTTTTCCAAATTTTCACTAAACTGAGTAAAATAATTAAACACCAGGGCTTAAATGCACCAAAGAAGAACTAAAATTTGACTATAAAGTAAATGAATAAGGGTATAGAAAGTTGAAACTAACTTAGTTAATTACTATGTATAGGCCTTTTTTTACCTAATGAAAGTACTTACAAATCATGTAGACGGTTTTATCAATAAATAGATGAGCATTGAAATCCTTCGGAACGGACCCACCCCTACCCCTTCAAATGCTCCCTCCGAAGTTTCATACAAAATTGAGATCAAGAAGTCAAAAGCCCACACCTACCTTCTCAGATCAAATACCGAAGAGAGCCTCGCAGCCCATCCAGTTTACTTCTCTCTCATCAGCCTCAAGTGTGAGTCCTTACACGGATGTGAGGAGGGCGTTGACCTCATTGATCCCTGGCATCGCTACATAGACGAACCATCCAACACTTTGAGTGAATCAAGCGAGGCTGTTACAGACGCAATAGAAATCAATGTTACTGATAATACTGCCACATCTGCTGTTACCACCACCTTGAATGCTAGCCGAAATAAATATCGAATAATAACCTTACCAGACAGCAAATTCAATCATCTTTGGGTAGGAAGAGTCAGCAGTAGCGAATGTCTGGAATGGATTGCACCTGAATTTCTGTCAACCAGAGACAGTGTCCAGGCCGCCCTCATCTTTGCTCTAGACCCAATACTCTTTGACAGGAAGGGCGAGAAATCAGTCAGAACAGCGACAAGGAGACGAAGGCGTAGGCGTCGAAGAGAGAGTCAGAGAGAGCAAGGCGAGAGTAGCACCGAGACGACTACCTCTTCTACAGACGAGGACGAAGAGGAGGACATCGAGGTAGAAGAAGAGGAAGGCGAGAATAATGATGATGAGACCATTTATATTCTTGCTGAGAGTGTGCGTGCGAGCCGGGAAAATGCTACGGTGGAAGGCGAGTCCAACGCCTCTGCAGAGCCAGCGGTTTCGTCAGAAACTGAGAGTTAGAAAAACATATAAAGAACTTGATAACCAGCTTATATTTTCATTTGAGTGATCAACTGCAAAGGTGGATTTAAGAAGTTGGTAGGAGTAAGCACTACGGAAATAGATGTAACAGGCATTATGATGATCATATTGCCATCTAAATCCAAAATTAAATCTGGTAGCAAAGTTTAACTTTTAGGCCAGTCATTCGAAGTCACGACATTTAACTGGCTGTAGGCACAATTTGGCCCCGAGTTGACCCTACGTAATCTCATCTTAACTGCAAAGAGATGCTCCGTTGACTTCGTCCAGTCTGTGAAGGCTTTTAACCTTATCATTTTGGCATTGTTTATTTGGCAATTTTAATGGCAAAATTATCCTAACTAAAGTTTATTCGAAAAATTTCAGGTTTCGATTTGGTGTAAGTGACACTGCCAATTTATGCCTATTAAAGTGGATAAAGGGCAATACAACAACCCTACAATAAAACTCCTTCCATTACAAGTGCCAAATTTTAACGTTTTTACCATTCAACCTGAACGCTAAAGCAGAGCGTTTGATGTAGCCGCCTAGTTGTGTGACGAAATAGGTAATTCTTATCCTCTAGCATTCTTTCTTTCAGAACTGGTCGACTGTTTGGTGTTTGGTTATTGAAGGATTGTTACTTCATATAAGATTAAAGCCACCCGAAACACAGGCGAAGCGTGTCTACTAGGTGTGCTCCAATAACCCTACAGCCATTTCAGTAAAGTTACCTACCTACCTACCACTTCCAGTCCGTTTCAATAAACTGAGCAGTTATTTTAACATGTTTGGTTTACTTAATCCAAAAGCAGTTTGTCATCACGACCGCTCTTCTAAATTTCCTTAGAATAATTACAAAGTAATGAAAATGTCCTCTTAGTTATTCTTATTCATTTACTCATAAGTTACGCTGAATCAAAGCCGAGAGTAAGATTAGAAAAACTGTTTTAGGGGCGTTTTACTAATTTTAAAGGCTGACTTTTAAGATTCGCCCTTTTTACCCATGCAACATTTAATGCTTGGTAAACTTTATCCAAGTTAGCGCATCAACATGGCAATTTTCCTTTTCGTGAAAATAATTTATACAATTGAAAAGCAAATTTAAACTGTATAATGGATAAATCACTGCTTGCAGTTGTGGAAGGCACAATCCAGAAGAGCATTCTGTGCATTTGGGTTTCTGGTTTCTACCCGCATAAATTTCATTAGGCAGTATGGAAAAGGTACAAAGCCAAATGAG